TCATGTCAACTGTATCATCATCTCCTCTAGATCCTGTGAGATTGAGTGAGACTGGGTCAGATTGGTCCAGATTGGTCTTCCTAGCCACAGTGTTTGAATATGTGCTGCTTCAAGTACATTTGTGGGAAACTCACTGGCGCTGCTGAGGAGCTGAAAGGTAACAGAGCACAGTAGGACTGTTCTACTGAATCAGTTCAAACTGCAGTCCCACATAAAAAAACAACTATTTAAAAAAGCTTATGCGTTCAGAACTCAGATATTTACAAACATTATGGTACAATCTAAATAATCCCAAGGCAATAATTAAGATATTAAAAAGCTAAATGTATACAAAATAATTTATTGGTTATTTTCTATGAATTTCACCTATATTTGTGAAAATAATACTTACATTTTCTTTTTTTTTCAGTGCCTTTTAAAGATATGTTAAAATATAAAGTTAAAATATGAAGATTTAGATTTTTTTACGTTTTTAAATTTTCTAAAATGACTGTCCCTTGTGTTCATGTCACTACCGAAACACAAAGAGTTTTAGCCCATAGATGGAGCCACACCCCTCCATTTTACAGCAGGAAGTGAAACTGCATCCCTGTTCCTCAAGGCCACATGGTGAGGAGTTAGATCTCAAGGAGTAAATGTGTCCCAATTTTTGAAAATCAGTGTGGAACATTAAGAATCGACCGAAACACATATTTTCTACCACTAAGTAAACTTCTGTGTTTTTAATAAAAATATTATGATTTTATGTGTGTTCAGCTGTTCAAAGCTGTTTCTGCTAGTCATGTACTTGATAGTGTTTTTTAAATCCGAATCAGTTAAATGTGTTTTCAACTCTGACTTCAAATAAAAGTAAAATAATCCAATAACGGTTGCTGATTGGAGGACTAAGAGAATTAATCAGGGTTTGGAATTGATCAGTTATCGCTGATAAAGAACAGAGGTGATTATTCATTAATAACATAATAAACAGATGTGACTCACAGACCCTCAAAACATGGGCCTGAATGTAAGTGAACACCCTGCACACTCAGACGCTTCGACACCGGCCGCCTTTATTTAACGCCACTCACACAGCAGCACGTCAGGAGGGAGAGAGAGCTGAGTGAGGGATATTAATGATATATTTCTATGAAAATTATACATTATTAATGTAGTTTTATACATTTGAACTGATCAGATAGATTTTATTTGAAGTTTTCACTCTGAAAGTGTCGACAGTGACGATGTTCCCAGTTCAGTTCTGTAAGTCAGAACTGTTCGTTTTGGTTCCTTGTTCAGGTTCTAGCGCTGACTGAGCGACACTCACCTGTAAGAATGGAACATCTTCAGCTGCCATCTCCTCTTCTACGGCTCTGATAGTGTCTGAAAGGGCTGATATCTCTCTGCTCATCTTCTCAATCCTCTCCTTCATCGTCTGACTCTTCTGCTCCTCTTCCTCCCTCAGTGCTGATATCCTGGCTGCCTCTTCATCTCGTAGAAACTGGTGAAGCTCCTCAAACTCCTCCTTAATCTGCCTCTCTGTGCGTCGGGCCTGAGTCTGGAAGGAAGCAGTGAATCTAATGAAATATGAGCGATTATGTGAGGATCCGGTTCATAATCTCAGAAGAGTTTGTTACTCTGACCTTTATATGATCTGCAGTCCGATCCAAATCCAGCTTAAACCTTTTAAAGACGTCCAGTTTCTCCTTCAGGGGCTTCAGTGCAGTTTTGAGCTCCTCCTGAAACAAATCAGCATTTTAGTGAGAAACAAAGCCAGATATAAAGTCCACACTGGTGTCCCAATGTGTTCCTGTCTCTCAGAGTGAGGATCCAGGTCACACATTTAGGAAAATGACCAGTTATTTTTATTTTCAGCTGAATTTAGTGAATTTATGGAGCTTCTCACAAAGTGTGGTCACTCATAACCCACCTTGTAGTCGAGTGCTGCTTCCTGAAGGGGGAGGAATTTGTGGCTGGTGTGTTTTTTAGAGTCCCGACACACCAAACACACCGGCTGTAGATCGTCCAGACAGAAGAGTCTGAGTTTCTCAGTGTGGTCACTGCAGATGTTTCCAGACTCTACTGAACTTCTCTGAATTCTCTCCTGTAAGAACCTCTCACACACGTTCTTTAAAGCCAGGTTTAAAGGAGGTTCCGGCATTGAAGATCTCCTCCTACAAACTGGACATTCTCTGGATCCTTTGGTTTCCCAGAACTTCTGCAGACAGACTTTACACACACTGTGGCTGCAGAGCAGAACAACAGGATCCTTGAAGATCTCACAGCACACAGGACAGGAGAGATCCTCCTCTGAGAAAGATCTGGAAGCCATTTCCTGTCCCTGCTGTTCCATCCAGTGAGAACGCTCAGACTTTCACTTTCAGTTGTGTGAAACTCTCACCTGATCTCAGCTGTGTTTCCAGTCAAACAGGCGGCTGTAGATCCAGTTAGTGATCATTTCCCTTCAGAGTGATTCTCCAGATCCAGAATTCTCCATAAACCCACCAACAAAAGTGGACTCAGCAGATCCCAACAGTGCAGCCTGTAAAGCTCTGCAGACGCCTCACACTCAGCACCTCCTCAGTAGGAGGAGTTTGAGTGGGAGGAGTTTAAAGAAGAAAGGCTAGAAGTGACGCCAGAGAGCAGGAAACAGATCAAAGAACAATAAAGCTGGAACTGTAGAGTCGCTCCACACCAGCTCACCTACAGCCTGTCAGTCACATCATGGATTTACAGTAAAATTACAGTAAAAACTTCAACACAAATCATGAAGCTGTGCAGAATTTCAAAGCTGCTTAAAAGATGGATGGCATGGTGTCGCAGTGGGTAGCGCTGTCAGCTCACAGTAAGAAGGGTCTGGTTTCGATTCCCAACTGAGTGACCAGAGTCCTCTCTATGTGGAGTTTCTATGTTCTCCCTGTGTCTGTGTGGGTTTCCTCATGCAGTCAGGCTGACTGGACACGCTAAATTGCACCTGTGTGTGTGAATGTATCTGTCTGTCTGTCTGCACTGCGATGGACTGGCGACCTATCCAGGGTGTTTCCTGCCTTCTGCCCATTGACGACTGGGATAGGCTCCAGCTCCCCCCTGTGACCCCGAAGGATAAGCAGCTTAGAAAGTGTTTGTATTTATATTATTATTATTATTATAAATAAAATGGTAAATATAGTTTAGCACTCAGTTATTATTGTGTACATTATATGAACCTTAAATATGACAAAGGTTTAACTACATTTTGCAGTAGCTGGTAGTTCAACTACATTCAGATTTACATAGTGATTGAAGTATCTGGATCACTGTATTAAATATGATTACTGTTTCACTGAATCGCTTCATTTGATATGACTGTAGATCTGAATACTTGCATTTTGCACGTTACTTCACTTTAACACTGTTAGTTGCTAGAATTACTGTATGAACCCAATACTGTATACTGTATGTTGCTGCTCTGGTTGCTGCCTCAGTGACTGCTATGCTCATATATGCTAGGCTCTCTGCTAATCTGCTAATGTGTCATAGTGTGGTCCATCCTCCTCTGCACAGCTCCACACGCTCTCAGTGCCGTGTGCTGCCTGTGTCCTGTTCTGTATTTACTGTAAGTCTTTTGTATTTATGTACTGTGCTGTATTATCTGTGCTGTGTTTATTGTATTGTTTTATCTTGTGTTCCTGTGTTGGTCCTGGAGGAACGTTGTTTTGTTTCACTGTGTATTTGTGTGTAGCTGAAATGACAATAAAGCCTCTTGAACTTAAAAAAAAAAAAGTAAAATGACTTTTTTTGCCATTTTTTTGTGTAGTTAACTACTGAAACTACATACAGGTTTTAAGCAATAAAAAGCTTGGACTTTCCCATGAACAGTGGGGTATTTTATTTATTTATTTATTTTTTTATTTTTGTTGTTTATGTGTATGACCTGTGAAAAGGTGGGCACGTTTTGCAGTAAACCCAATTGTGTGGCATGTTTTCCTGGTATGTGACCTTTTTGGGTTCGATTTTGTTAGAATTTCGTGTCACATTAAATTGTCTATTTGATTTTTTACGCAGTAGTTTGAACTACTTTAAATAGCTTTAGTACCTGTTAGCCTGCAAAGCTGTGCTTTCAGAGTAGCTTCGCCAACACTGATATCTATAAACCACATTAGAGCTTAAAGATCAATATGATTATTATTCAGACCCTCAGGGCCGGAGTGGGACGTGTTTACAGAGTGGGAGTTTATGTGATGCAGACCAGCCCACCTTAAACTCTGACTGTGTTTCTCCTGCTCCACACACAGCTCTGCCTTTATGCAGCAGAACTTTCTCTAAAATCTGTGCTTTTTGATCTTCTGTTCCCACATTTCTCTCTTATTTATTATTAATATGCTGCACTGAGGTGATCAAGGTGGCTGGATAGTGATGAAATGAGAACTGACGGATGATTTTGTCCTGAATGTGACGGTCATGACAGTCAATATGCTACAGGCGATGCTAACGTTAGCTGAGTAGCTTAAATTAACATCCTGTCCACACTTCTCACTGACCACCTGACCAGATTAGGTTCACTTTTCCATTCACACTCATGGATGAAGCAGTGAGGAATGTCTATCGTCTTAATCAGTGACTGTGTGTGTTTTTACTCTGTAGAGAGTTCTGGTAATTATGCTTTTTACAGCATTTAAATGATGGAGATTCTACATTTCCCCCTTTTTGCCTATTAAAAGTTCAACGTTTAACGAGTCTTTGTGTTTTTTTCCCTCAGATGTTTATAAACGAGTTTGCTGAGATGATCTGATACCGAAAAGCTGTTTATTCAGGGGCTAATAAAGAAAAACATCAGGACTAGTTTCAGCATCAGATCCAGCCACTCAGACACAGCGTCTGATTTATACTGTATGATTATCGTTAATAATAATACTATAAATATATTTATAGAGCACTTTTTATACCAGCGGCAGCTCAGAGTGCTTTACAGACAGCTGATAAAGCTTTACAGTAAAATAAGAAAGTCCATGAAACAGCTTTAAAGCAGCAGCCTGATCCACTCAAACACCCACTGATCTTTATTATTCAATTAGAATATGAACATACAAATATGATGACAGCGTCAATCAGAGACACCAACAATAAAAGTAAACAAAACAGAAAAACACAAACAGCTCAGATCATCACCAGACAGACACATTATACAGGAATATCAAAGGACCTAATTCCAGTGTTCTGACAGTGTTTTTAATGCTAGAACCAGTAACTGTTTGTCTTGTTTGGCTTCATTCACAAATAAAATAAAAAGAGGCTTTTAATTTGGATATTTACATTTATGAATATGGAATTTAGCAATAAAATAAAACTGGTTATATAATATTTATCAACCTTGTTTTAGGAGATCTTTATTAAACCAAACATGTTCAAAACATAAATGTTTCTGAATGTTTCGCCTGCATTACTTAACATTTTATACATTTTAATATCTCAGTGTATTAAAAATTCAGATAAACCTTCTACAAATGTGTTTAAGCAGCTCAGTAAGATCTCAGATGATCTGAGCTGCAGTGACTGAACAGCTCTTATAACTGCAGATCATTTCAGTACTAATCAGTGTTTCAGTGCTGATCCACACAAAGACTGAATGAGCTCTAACTGAGCTGATTCACTGATACACTAAACTGCACTGCTGAGATTTTCACAGGGCTGATTTCACCAGTATTGAACAGTGGAAACACTCTCTCAGTGAATGTGTGTGTAAAAGTGTGTAAGTGTGTTTTAGTGAGAGGATCAGAGAATGAGAGTTTTCCTCTGTCCCAGTCCAGCTGCACTCGGACCCTCCGCACTGTCTGACCTACTGAGAGGAGAGTGTCTGGCTGTGGTGAAGAACCGGCTCTATATTTACCACGCAAATACCACACACTCCAAACTCCTCTCCTGGAGGATATACTTCCCTTCCTCTGAGCCGACTCTGTCATCACACCCAGAAACCAGAGTTTACTATCTCCAACTTCAACATCCCAGCAGTGAGTTCCTGAGTTGAAGCCCTCAGAGCCCAGAACACATACAGCTTTACCAAATCTCTCTGGATTATCAGGAAGCTGCTGTCTCTCTTTAGTGCGTCTCAGACTGGTCAGATCATCAGACAGGATGAGTTCAGGATGAGCAGTGTTGGGGTCCAGAGTTACAGGAGCTGAAGAAGAAATACACACATATAATTTACACAGAAATAAAAATACATCATGAATTTAATCAAACACTGTAAAACAAATCCCTCTTTAAATGTACAGTAACTCACTGGCAGCAGAGCTTTCAGGTATTTACTGTCATTAATATTTACAGCACTCATACTGTAATGTTTGTTTACAGTAATGACTGAACTACAGTTTAAATGCAGTACATTTATATTTAAACACTAAACACTGACAGCAGAATATTACTGTAATCATTATTATCCTCTTTTCTGAACATTATTCATACACATACATATCAGGAAATAAAGAGTTAAACTGCATCTTAAACACTTTAAAAAGAGTCAACAATCCTAAAAAGAATCAACTGATTCATTTCAGCTTTTCAGAAATACAGAAAGCTGTTCTTTCTAAAGCTAACAGGCTAACAGGCTAACAGGCTCCTCTAATAACGTCAAACATCAATGTTTAAGCTCGAACTGAACAGTGTGTTGGCGGCAAAAACAAGACCAGCTTTTCACCGACATCGAATATCGCTTATAATGACCAAGCACGGCCGGATCTACGGTCAGGGAGACGTGGGTCATCACGCTGGGGCTCTGAGAGCTGAAGGGTCTTTAGTTTATACAGGAAAAACACACTGAATGGAGTGATTTACTGAAAAACACTCACAGCAACACTTACTGACCAGCACATTCACACAGACACAGACACCCAGACTGACCACAGCTCTGCCCACTGAAACACACAGCAGTGTTTCTGTAGCTGCGTTTCTGAACAGAATCAAATCTGATTGGTTTTCTGTCAGAGGGTCATTGTATTGTGTCCAGTTAAGATCTTGATGCTCTCCGTGTCGTTTCTGATGGTGTGAGGGGTCCCGCCTTATTTTCGTTTCTTAGCCCCCCAAACACTGTTTACCATCTGCTGCTATCTGCCATCACCTCAGTCCAGCTTCAGCAGGTCCTGACAGAGTGGACGCTGCTGTTTTCCACCCATTTCCAGAGACAAACACTCATTTAAAGACCGTCAGCTCATGTTTACAGACGTGTCTGTGTCTCCAGTGGTTTGTGAACTTGGTGTGTAACAGCTCTTTTACTGATGCTGAGAAAGCGAGCGGCTCATTCTGAGCACAGAGTCCTCAAAGGTAAGATAGTGATCCATAACCAGTTTTCATTCCTCTGTGAGCTTTAGTTTAGGATGGTTTGTGTTTTAGGCTCTTAAATTTCCTCATAAGTGGACGCTGATTTATAGGGAAGAGACTTTTACTTTATTCTGTTTTCTCCATGTGGACTCGCCTCCTGTTGTATCGATATGAGAAACATTAAAGCTCAGTTACACTGTAACTAATTTATACTGTCTGGCTTTAAATTGATCAAAGCTCCTGTTGTGATGCTGTGAGATCAGAGGAAAGACGACTTCCTGCAGCTGTGATGCTGCGTTTATCAGTTACATCACATTTATACACCAATGAAAAGAGTCGCTGGACAAACAGTTACATCAACCTGACCTGACGCTTCAGTAATGATCTAATGTATCCCTTCATTTACTGTAATACCTGCTTTATTATCACATACTGGTAATGTGTGTGTGGGCTGATGGGGGGGTGACTGTAGTGGGAGCAGGAGGATGGGGGGCTTAGCGCATCAACACCCAGGGGCCTGTGGGGGTCTTAATCCCAGCTTGACAAAACATGAGAAAAGAATAAAAGAATGATAGATAGAGAGAAAAAGTGAGACTCACTGAAGTGAACGATCTGCTGCATCTTCTCCCAGACGGTGAACTTCAGGTTGGCCAGATGTTTGGCCACATGGAGCAGCGCTCCTGAAAGGCTCTCTGGATCCTGCAGTGTGAGCTGAGCTCTGGAAGAACATTCAGGACTCAGTGCTGCTGAAGCTTTGAGTTCAGAACTACAGAAAAGAGAGAGACGGCAGACAGTAACACTCACCTTTTCACTGTGGCCTTGTAGTTCTGTAAAACAGTGAGAGTGGATCAGTGACTCTGCTCTCCGTTCAGTCATGGGCTTATTTTTATTCACTGAATAAACAATTTCACACAGTGGAAACACCACAGGGGTCATATGTGTCAGATGTGTGGAATCCCACTAAAGCTATGTGTAAACATTTATGATGTCTGTTCAGATGTTTCTTGTCAGATTCATGAAAAACACAAACACACACCTTTCTCATCGTAAATCACATCAAATATTATTTTAGAAAACAGCCATAATTAATTTTCAAACATTACTCAGTGAACTCATAACACATAATTATGTAGTGAAAGGTCTGTTACTAGTTTTTCTGCTTTACTGGATTCAGTTCTGCAGATTATTAGAAAAAGTCCAGTGAGTCCTGCAGTACCTCTCCTCTCCACTAGCTGACAGTATTTTCTTTTGTCCTCCAAAACCTGAGTGCATCACCGCCAGAGTATGAGGAGTTCTTCTCACATCAGCTTTCACTTCTATAAATATTGATCTTTCCATAGATGATCAGTATTATTTCTGTGTGTATGTATGAAACCCAGAGCTCGAGCTGTATGAAGAAATTAAATGTGCTGAATTCTTTGCTGGTATTTGTATTTATAGTTCCTATAATTCACTTTTCCAACTTCCAACTATTCCAAGCCATATACTGTCTTTTCCGTGGTACCATAGGCTACTTAGGCATAGCAAGTTATCCCAGGGTCTATATTTAAAGATGCTGGACTGGGTTCCCTTAATGTAAACCCAAACAATCTCAAGGAGAGCCTAGAAAACTGATGTAGTAGTGCTAATAGTGTTAATACTTCAAAGAGCCAAAGAAAATATAAACGTAAAAACACTGTACACAAATAAGTGTCTTTCTATTATATATCAAATTGGTCAAATAGGGTCACACTGGCCAGGCCATGACACCCCCACCACCATGTTTTACAGGTGAGGTGGTAGCTTTGGATTTTGTGCAGCTCCTTTTCTCCTTTCGCTCTCATCATCGCTCTGATACAAGACTGATCTCATCTGTTCACAAGAGCTTTTTCCAGAACAGGCTTAAGTACCGTTCAGTAAACTGTGACCTGGCTGTCCAGAGTCCAGAATCTTTTACTGGGGTGCTGGAATAGTTGAGGGGGTTGTTGGAACAGACCTGTAGTGGAGCTCCACACTCAGATCAGTGCAGAGAAGAGCTGATATGAAGTTTCTGTATTTGATCACACATATGAAGCTTCCTGTCATCAGGACACGATTAGTGTGGTGCATTTTAGTGACATGCAGACCGGTCAAACCAGTGGTGAAGGCCGACATACATTTTGGGTGGGACTGAGAAAAGTATGTAGGCCAACCTGACAGGTTCAGTTTCCTAATGTGCTGTAGTGTGTAGTGACTTCACAAAACCCCTCCCACTGAACTCTGGCCAGTATCTTTAGAGTGGACACTGCTCCCGTTTAACTGTCCATAAAACACTCCTCCTGGTTTTCAGTCTCTCTTTTGCTTGAGAGTCTACAAGCACACCAATACAGTGCTGTGTCCCACAATGTCTTAATCTCAGGCTACCAGTGCAGTCGTCACCCTGCATAATCCATCCTGATATAAAACCGTAGTAAGACTGTTTACCAGAATGCAGAATTCAGATAAACACAACCAACACTTCACTAAGAGCTGTATTTCACTAACCCAGTGAAGACGACATAACTGAGTTAAAATCAATCTGAGACGGACACAGACGAGGAGAAACAATACAGCAGACTCAAAAACCTGAACCTAGTAAGAACCAAAGTTGGAGAAAACTGATGAGGACAATGTTTTTTTTATCGTTTTTGGACGGGTAGAAATCTACACACTGCACTCTGTCGGGGACGGAATCTCACTTCTACACATCATCCAGCTACATATTTTGCTCACAGCTGGAGCTACAGATTCAACTTCCTATTCGTTATTTGAGCTAATTAGTAGACCATAGTAACGGTTCGTAACCACTAACTGGAAACCTAAGACATTTAATCAGGGTTTGGAATCGGTCAGTTATGACTGATAAAACCAGAGGTGATTATGCATTAATAGCATAATAAACAGATGTGACTCACAGACCCTCAAAACATGGGCCTGAATGTAAGTGAACACCCTGCACACTCAGACGCTTCGACACCGGCCGCCTTTATTTAACGCCACTCACACAGCAGCACGTCAGGAGGGAGAGAGAGCTGAGTGAGGGATATTAATGATATATTTCTATGAAAAATTATACATTATTAATGTAGTTCTATACATTTGAACTGATCAGATAGATTTTATTTGAAGTTTTCACTCTGAAAGTGTCGACAGTGACGATGTTCCCAGTTCAGTTCTGTAAGTCAGAACTGTTCGTTTTGGTTCCTTGTTCAGGTTCTAGCGCTGACTGAGCGACACTCACCTGTAAGAATGGAACATCTTCAGCTGCCATCTCCTCTTCTACGGCTCTGATAGTGTCTGAAAGTGCTGATATCTCTCTGCTCATCTTCTCAATCCTCTCCTTCATCGTCTGACTCTTCTGCTCCTCTTCCTCCCTCAGTGCTGATATCCTGGCTGCCTCTTCATCTCGTAGAAACTGGTGAAGCTCCTCAAACTCCTCCTTAATCTGCCTCTCTGTGCGTCGGGCCTGAGTCTGGAAGGAAGCAGTGAATCTAATGAAATATGAGCGATTATGTGAGGATCCGGTTCATAATCTCAGAAGAGTTTGTTACTCTGACCTTTATATGATCTGCAGTCCGATCCAAATCCAGCTTAAACCTTTTAAAGACGTCCAGTTTCTCCTTCAGGGGCTTCAGTGCAGTTTTGAGCTCCTCCTGAAACAAATCAGCGTTTTAGTGAGAAACAAAGCCAGATATAAAGTCCACACTGGTGTCCCAATGTGTTCCTGTCTCTCAGAGTGAGGATCCAGGTCACACATTTAGGAAAATGACCAGTTATTTTTATTTATCAGCTGAATTTAGTGAATTTATGGAGCTTCTGACAAAGTGTGGTCACTCATAACCCACCTTGTAGTTGAGTGCTGCTTCCTGAAGGGGGAGACATTTGTGGTTGGTGTGTTTTTTAGAGTCCCGACACACCAAACACACCGGCTGTAGATCGTCCAGACAGAAGAGTCTGAGTTTCTCAGTGTGGTCACTGCAGATGTTTCCAGACTCTGCTGAACTTCTCTGACTTCTCTCCTGTGAGAAACTCTCACACAGGTTCTTTAAAGCCAGGTTTGTAGGAGGGAACTCCATTGAAGATCTCCTCCTACAAACTGGACATTCTCTGGATCCGTTGGTTTCCCAGAACTTCTGCAGACAGTCTTTACACACACTGTGGCTGCAGAGCAGAAGAACAGGATCCTTGAAGATCTCACAGCACACAGGACAGGAGAAATCCTCCTCTGAGAAAGATCTAGAAGCCATTTCCTGCCCCTGCTGTTCCGTCCAGTGAGAATGCTCAGACTTTCACTTTCAGTTGTGTGAAACTCTCACCTGATCTCAGGTGTGTTTCCAGTCAAACAGGCGGCTGTAGATCCAGTTAGTGATCATTTGCCCTTCAGAGTGATTCTCCAGATCCAGAATTCTCCATAAACCCACCAACAAAAGTGGACTCAGCAGATCCCAACAGTGCAGCCTGTAAAGCTCTGCAGACGCCTCACACTCAGCACCTCCTCAGTAGGAGGAGTTTCAGTGGGAGGAGTTTAAAGGAGAAAGGCTAGAAGTGACGCCAGAGAGCAGGAAACAGATCAAAGAACAATAAAGCTGGAATTGTAGAGTCGCTCCACACCAGCTCACCTACAGCCTGTCAGTCACATCATGGATTTACAGTAAAATTACAGTAAAAACTTCAACACAAATCATGAAGCTGTGCAGAATTTGAAAGATCCCCTTAGTTTTATTATGATTTTTAAAGTTTGACTCATTCGGCTCTAAATTACCTCTCAGATATGAAGCTGAGCTGCTTAAACGGCTGAACTGAGGTTAAATATTCAGGGATCATGTTATCGGCCTCTGGGCACTAATAGTGGGCTCATACCGCTACCTTTTTGGTGGTCAGTCAATTTTTGATGATATCACAGCAGGTCAGATAGATGAGGGCTGAGAAGAACCATGATGGTAGCAGAATTGGCCCTTTTCACAGAGCGTGCGATTACTTCCGGTTTACGTGTCAGCAGGGTAAAACTAACTTCCACTTCATACAACCACTGCAGAAGCGATGACAAAATGTTATTGTAGTGAACCATAATGCTCAAACACTGAGCTACAACAGCTGTATTTTTCGTGCACGGTCACAACAAACAGTGAGAACAGAAATCAGTGCTTCCATCCACTTTAACTGTAAACAGAGCTAAACTGTGTGTATCTGTATGTGTGGCGTAGCCCTGCTTACTGCTGCAGCAGCTGCCTCACATCAAGCAGCCTCTCTGTCTTTGAATAACATGCCAGTGATTTCTGTAATATTTCTTATTACAGTAATGTTTTCAAAAGAAAGAACTTTTATGTATAGTATGAATTTGTTAGACATTGTTTAGTTGTAGCTAGCTAGCTATGCTAGAGGCCACTGCTAACTGTAGCTGTATTCCCAAACAAGGAAGCTAGCTCTCATTAGCTGCTGGCACCAGCTGGCTAACGTGGAGCATGTTCTGTGACACATTTACAGCAGCGATTTCTCTAATATTATAAACGCAAACCAAAACTTTTATATGTAAAGTCTGTTTGACAGACCTTGTTTAAACTCTCTTTTAGCTTACGGTAGGCTAGCTAATTAGCGGCTGTATCCTACTAGCCTACCGTAAGCATTGACAGTTTAAGGAGCACAACCTTCATATGAGCAGGAGACTTTAAAGCTAGCTGGCTGGCTATATTAGCGATCTGCCAAACAGCATCTTTATTTTAGTTTCATGGCAATTTTTGAAGAAGTACTTCGGAAAACATCCGCCTTTCACTGCTGAATCAAAAATGCGATTCCTAGCTAACGTGTATCTTAGCATCGCGGTTATGCGGTGACATTTTGATTTCCATTTCCTGACATAGCTAGGTTAGCTAGGATGTGATCTGGGAAGAGCCACCTAAGGTCTCTGCATTAGCTTTTTAAAGATGAGTGCAAAATGAACTGGTGATGCTGCTTTATGTTAGCCGGGTAATCTAGCGTTAGTTTGGGATAATAGCTAACATTACTGTTAGCAGTAGCTTCTAGCCAGCATAGCTAGCTTAATATAAACGGAGTCCATCAAATTCGTGCCACGTATATGTGTTCTTCACACATACAGCATTTTAGCTCTGTTTACAGTTAAATCAGTGCTTCCATCCACTTCTTACTCTCACTGTTTGTCATGACAGTGCAGGAAAACTGAAATATAGCTGTTGTACCTCAGTATTGGAGCATTATAGTTCACTACTATAACATTTTGTCAACGCTTCTGCAGTAGTTATATGGAACGGAAGCGAGTTTAACCTGCTAACGCTTAAGCCGGAAGTAATCACGACTCTTTGTGAAAAGGGCCCATAACGCTGTGTTGGGCACTGATATAAATGCACATATTTGATTTAATTGTTTATTTAATTAATTAGGAAGTATTTTTGAATGTTCTGATGAAGCTGCATAGTCTGGCTCTAGTGGTTTACAAAACTAAAACCAGGATCTCTAAACAGTTCTAGACACAAGCATCTTGAATGAAGTGTTTCTATTGGGTATGAAAGCTTAATGTAAAGTTATTCATCCTTTATTTGTTGTGGTTTAGAAGGAAGGTCACTGTGGTTGGTTAGCGTTACTGCTACTGAGCACTGATTGGTTAGCGTTACTGCTACTGAGCGCTGATTGGTTAGCGTTACTGCTACTGAGCGCTGATTGGTTAGCGTTACTGCTACTGAGCGCTGATTGGTTAGCGTTACTGCTACTGAGAGCTGATTGGTTAGCGTTACTGCTACTGAGCGCTGATTGGTTAGCGTTACTGCTACTGAGCGCTGATTGGTTAGCGTTACTGCTACTGAGAGCTGATTGGTTAGCATTACTGCTACTGAGAGCTGATTGGTTAGCATTACTGCTATTGAGCGCTGATTGGTTAGCATTACTGCTACTGAGTGTTGATTGGTTAGCATCACTGCTACTGAGCGCTGATTGGTTAGCATTACTGCTACTGAGCGCTGATTGGTTAACATCACTGCTACTGAGCGCTGATTGGTAGGCATTACTGCTACTGAGTGCTGATTCGTTAGCATTACTGCTACTGAGAGCTGATTGGTTAGCATTACTGCTACTGAGCGCTGATTGGTTAGCATTACTGCTAATGTGCGCTGATTGGTTAGCATTACTGCTACTGAGCGCTGATTGGTTAGCATTACTGCTACTGAGTGCTGATTGGTAGGCATTACTGCTACTGAGAGCTGATTGGTTAGCATTACTGCTACTGAGTGCTGATTGGTTAACATTACCGCTACTGAGTGCTGATGTTCCTTTAACTGGAGTTCAAAAGTGGTCAAAAATATAAAACCAGCATTAAAATCTTTTACGCTGTTTTGTCTTCTATAAATTAATGTATTCTAAATGAAAATGTTTAAGTATTTACAAAATATTTACATGGTTCTACTCTAATGCTGCATATTAACCCATTCATTTTGGACTCCCTCAGGAGCGCCCTCTAGCGTTTACAGAAACCCAGAAGACATGATCGAGTGGTAATTCTCTCTATAAGTTCAACATGAGGTACTTTATCGAGGGTTTGATTGGCTGTTTCATGCAACTTCTTTCACAGTTGAAACAGTGCAGCGTTTCAAACGTGTTTTAAGTGGACTGCAGGTTACATCTAAAATTATGTCTAAAATTATTTATGAAGGTCGTAGCGCCATAAACAGACCTTCACACAAATGCTGTTTTATTTTTATTTACATGTAGTAAATGAAAAACACTGCATAGAGATCATTTTGGAAAAGTACTACAGAACTGCCCACAGGTCTACTACCTCAGGTGTTTAGCACAGAATGTCCAGTAGAGGGCAGCATAATGCAGGGGTTGGAATACAGGGTGAGCAGAAGCAGTGGGAATTTTTGAACCAAAAAACAGATTTAATAATATCTACGACACAATAGAAACAATCTGAGTAATACTTATCTGGTTTAACCACAGCACAGGTGAAAATCTGAAAGCTGTAGGAGATTAATACAAAACAGGTACATTTGAATTATTAATAATTACAAATGACAACAACAGATTTTATTATGGGATGGAATTTGACTCATTAATTAGCCTCAGGTAATAATTATTTACATCAGAGAGAAATAATCTGAGATTATAAAGGTAATGAGAGAGCATTGAATTTAAGATTATGAAAGGGCACTAATCTGACATTATTTAAATAATGAAAAAGCACTAATCTCAGATTATTAAGATAATAAGAGAGCACAAATCTGAGATAATTAAGATAAAACAGCACTAATCTGGGATTATTAAATAATGAAAAAGCAGTAATCTAAGATTATAAAAATAAGAAAGCACTAATATGAGATTGTTAAAATAATAAAACATCACTAATATGAGATATTAAAATAATGGAAAAGCACTAATCTAAAATTATTAAGGTAATGAGAGACCGCTAATCTGAGATTATGAAAGAGCACTAATCTGAAATTAAGATAATGACAGCACTGATTTAAGATTATTAAAATAATAAGAGAGCTCTAATCTGAGATCTTTAAGATAATAAGAGAGCACTAATATGAGATTATTGGGAAAATGAGAGATTCCAGATGTAAATGATAAAGAAACCAAATGTCAACATCTCAAAAAGATAAAAAAGTCAAAGTCTTCACATTTGGGATTATCATCCAGGAACAGCAGCTCAATCTAACTAACTAAACTGCGTTTAGAGTCCAGACTGCAGATCAGAAACGTGTGAACAGGTTTCGTTCTAGATGAAATCTTTTCTAGTGAGATTTTACTGTAGTCACATTTTTCTTTCCTTTGACTGGAACCAGTTCACAGCCTCACAGCTCTGCGAGAACAGAGGAACGCTAAAGGAACAGAGCTGATCTTTCAGAAACAGAAACGATTCTCTGATAGTCCACTAGAGGGTGTCAGTCTTCCAGCATGTATTTAGTTTATGTAAACTGCACTTCCTGTGTTTCTCACCAAACCATCTTAAACTTACACAGTTATGTGTGCAAATCATGCCGGGTCATCAGCAGAACTGTAGAACCCAATACTGTGATCATTTTCCAATCACGTAATAACCTCCCTGAAATATTTGCACTCGGACATAAATGAAATAAAACCTAGCTAGATAGAACCACTGTCTTCACTAAAGAACCCTTGAAGAACCAGTTTTAATATGTATTTCGTAATAACACCTAAAATGTAATAACCCCTAAAAAACATGACAAAAAGAAAACCCAATAATCCTAATGAAGATGGTTCTCCAGGGGTCTCGTTAGCAAAGAAAACAGTTCTATATGGAATCATGAACACTCAATGGTTCTTTGCACAGTAAAATCGTTCTTCAGATTGATGGAGAATGTGCTGTGTATGGTTCTATGTAGCACCAACATGGG